CTCTCTCTCTCCCTTTCTTTTTTTTTTTTTTTTTTTTTTTTTTTTTTTGCATCAGTGGTTTATGCTGTAGAATTCTCTTTTTATTGGCAGTTAATCTCTGACTAATTATCTTTTAAGTATTTCACATTTAGCTACATTATTTACCACTTGTTGAACAGAGAAAGTTCCTATATTCTGGCCTCCACGTGCAATAATAGTCCTGTTTATTTAGTTCTATTGTAATTTCTTTTTTGTTTTTTAGTGATAGTTAAAATGAGAGTTCGACATTTGGTGGACGCTCTTGTCAAATTGTAAAGGTGTCGAATGCGAGGAAGTGCGAAATATAATGAATACCCAATCGATGGAAATCGATGATCTATACCTAACGAAATCGTGGTGTTAACGGAAAACTTTGACTTATCAATATTCAAAAGACAAATTTCCTCGCTTTAATTCTGATTGTACTGAATATCATTGATCATCAGCATTCATCGATATCTGCACGTACATGTATAAGACATGATTGACCCAAAGACTAATATAAAAAGCAAAAGGAGTCCAAAGTTTTGGTATGGATGTCGAAAGGACAACCACTTTCATAAGTTATTTCATAGCTATAAGTATGATGAATAAATAACTTGCACTTCTGTGTAAGCATCTCCTATTCTTTATTTATTCATCATGTTTTAATAATAATTTATCGTTTGGTCTACTATTCTGGTGAGATAGGAAACATCCTATTTAGCCTTCCTTGAATTTGATATTTGATAAATTTATTGTGGTAATGGTGAAACTTTGAACTTTTCCTGAAATTTAATTGCAATTTGCCAATTACGTTGTAAATTACCTCAAACAGAGAAAAATCAAAGAATTTGATTTGATCAAGGGGTGGAGTCAAAAATTGAATCAGCCAACGAAAGATAAAATTTTTTAACGATTAAACTCCCAACAGAGACGTTGATTCCAATTCACTCAGAATTGATCAAGAAAAAGTAACGAGATAAATAAGATTTTTCTCATTCTACTGTGCTCAGCATACTTGTATATGCCGTGGATGCTGAAACACGTCAAGAACTCATTATATTTTTCTACTGTTGCCTGCTAATGATGCTAAAACCAAATATCAGCCTAGCCGCTCATTTTCTGACAATTTTTTCGAGTGTGTGCAAGCTATAGCCTGTAAGTCACATAATATAAAGATATAGAATATGACTTTTAATTGTTCTTTTCCATCCCTTGTTGCGTCCTTTATAAGCATAAGTGATAAAGTACAAATTAAAAAATTCAAAATATTAAAAACAGTTTCCTAAAGCTTCTTCGTAGACTAACTTCGCACATTAATGTTGGTTATTTCATTTTGTACTCAAGCCTTGTAAAATTGAATCAATGACAAAATTAATTAATGGTCCTTACGAATGGCAGCCCGATATTTGTATACAGGTATGCCCTTCATTTAGTATTAACACCCTCCCGACTTTATTGAATTGGTTGCGTGTTAACAATAATATATAATAGCTACTATATAATCTTGTTAGCATTAAACGTACAACGGAAGGAAGCTATTTACCGCCTGACCTGAAGTAAAATTCATATAATGAAAGAGTCAATTATCAATTGACTGAAAACTAATTTACACGTAGATAAGTAAACCATAGTAGGTAACAGGCGAAATAGAAGCAAACCCTTAGCAAGTCAGCGTTCATTCTCATCTGGTTGGTATCGTGGCTGTAGAACTACTCAAATGATAATATGATATGTTCCTATTTGGTGTAGTAAATTGACCTTCGAAACTCACTCGTAACATTTGATGAGTTGATTAGGACGCAGTATTCGATTTTTAAATAGATTAAATCCAACATGCAGCCACGCACAACTGTAGTTTAGAGCGCAGTTGAGTGGAACCCTTGGAACTATTAAATTACACTGTGTAGAACATGGTATGACGAAATCTAAATTGCTGATCATTATTATTATCATTCATCGCTAACTGTTTTCGTGCTTGGTCTGGGTGTGTAACTAAGAATCTCTTGGAATTGTTTTGTGGTATGTTTCCAATTTGACCACTATATTTTTTTGCGTATCGCAGATTCGTGTTTCGAAAGTGCTCCTCGTCTTCTTCCTGATATTCTCATCCTTGCACGGCATCACACTACGTGGATCAAAACATGACAGAAAAAAGGTCAAATGGGATGAAAAAGAAAAACGAGTGCCTGTGGAGGATAATTACCTTGAAGTCTTTTCAAAACAAGACGACGCAAAACATGATCATTTTGGAATGATCGAGAAACGAGCCCTGAGATGCGGATATGAAGAAATTGTAGAAGATTTTAAGAATGCCAATGGTAAAGAAATTCGCAAAATGCTATGCAAATGTGCAGGAATGAGTTGTAAAGTCTCTTCCCCTACTATGATATGTCGTAAATGCAAACCATACGATAAGCAACAAAGCTGAGCTGTTCTTTTAGGGTGAACAAAACTAAATTAACAGCTTTCTCTACCATGTATTAAAAGTGCAAACCATGAGAAAAGCAGCAAAACTGTTTATTTAGAGTGAACGAAAAAATTAAAAAACTGAGTTGTTGTTCGTTGTACCACGATACAATCACTATTCACGGCTGAAATATCAGACTCAGAAATTATATTCTTGGACACAAAAGTGTACGAAAGCGAGAGGTTTAACAGGAATCGACCCTTGACCGGCCAAAAGGTATAATAAAGAGACAAGGACCTTCGAATACCTGAATTTTTATTCGTATCATTTGCAAGTGCAAAGAAGGAATCCGTAAAAAGAGAAGCGCTTCGCCTTCTAGGAATAAATTCGTCATGTTTAAAGAATAGACGATACCAAGATGAAATTTTGGAGAAATTTATCTTTAAATTTGATTTCTCTGGGAGTGAATGAAACGTCAAAAATACTTAGTAAATGGACGATAGACATTAGATGAGTGTATAAAAAGCCGGTTCTCGATCAAGATTTCAAAGATTTAGTCGAATAGTGCTACAAACACGGTAAGATTTTCCTTTTCTGTGATACAAAAAATACTCTCTAAGGCCACTACCCCCGCAATGCTGTTTGAACGTGGCCCTTGAAAGGAAAAGCAAGGTCGATGGATGCTCGCGCAAATTTCTCGCGATGGCCAAGGTCGTGCTACGGTAGTCACGCACTCATATCAAGAGATTAGAATAGTGAGGTGTTTTCGTATAAAACAAAGACGTGTAAAACGTGTTTTCGTATAAAACAGAGAAAAAAAATCTGAATGACAAGAATAAAAATTTATTATTGCTACTGCAACACAAAGTGAGGCTGGAAGGTATTTTAATCGTGAAGCGTGTTATCGTTATTCTGTTGAAGGCAGACAGTTAGAGAATAGAAGGCTTACAGTGATTCAGAGCAAGAGCGTGAACGTGACACGACATCTCAACCCGCGATTACTTTGATTTCTTTCAATACTTGGTATCCCTAACTTCTACTAATGTGAAGTCACGACAAATTTCTGAATTTCTGACTTCCCCCCCCTTTTGATTAGATAAGGCATGATACGAAAACAATGAAAAGCGTGTATGTGCACTTTTGCAAAGTTATTGCAGTTAAACGTAATGTTATATTAAACCTATTTGTAACTTAAACAATCAACCAGCTTCTTTTCCCAGCTTTCCTTTTCAACTGACTTTGCGTAGTCGATGTAACTCAGTTTTTGAAGTTCCTTAGGAAGCTTCCTTCTGTCAACATCATCGATCTTGATGACAACTAAACTATCATCTCTCTTTTCCATAAGTCGATGAAGGGCGTAATCCAGTTCTGACCCACAATACTTACTGTTGAAAAAGTGAGTGGACACAACGGCGATGGTTTTCTTGCACTTGTAAACGCTATCCACCATATTTTTCCTAAAAGTTACTCCGGGGGTAAAGTCTCGGTAGTGCACACAACACTTCATTCCATGGTTTTCCTCCAAGGTTGGAATTAAGGTGTTTATCACCCACTGTGAGTCCTCGGAACTGAATATAATGAACGCGTCGTACTCAAATTCCGGATCTGCAACAAAAAGCGCATGGGATAAAATATGGTAATTAAACTGACCCGAGTGCAATTTGCATAGGTAATAAGATAATTTCGAGTGGAATTTGGGATAAATCAGCACGAGTAAATTTTTCAAAGGCAATTTCTAGTCTTTGATAAATTTACGAGTGCTGATTTATCCGAAATTGCAAGATAAAAATAATCTGATTACCAGTTATTAAATATACAAGCTAAGATATGACTCTGTTTTCCTTTTTGGTTGTCTTTATTTCGAGTCATAGCCCGCCAGTTCGGCCGCTTGCCTTTGCCTTGTGGCCAGAATATTCGAGCTTTTTCGTCAATAATTTGCTTCAAACTTTTGAAACCTCTCTCGAGAATAAGTGAGCGTTTGCATTCTTTCTCTGTTAGGTATCGGTCAACGGCAGTAACATTACACGAAGACTGTCGTGATCTTCTGCGTCTTTCGTACGAACTGTTGCGTAAAACTCCGAGAGAATTTTTATTCAGAGCCTCCGGTTCATACTTTCAAATCCGTTTTTGGAAGCCATACTATAGCCAGTTGTTTTTCCTTTGTTGGGTGTTTCTGTTTTTAGAATGCTCCCTCAAACTCTGAATTAAAACGTTGTTACTCTCTCCTTATCTGTCCGCTATTTTGTTTTGTTTTGTTTTCGCGACTTACCTGTCAATCAATTCAATTTCAAGTTTCTGCACCAAATTTCAACTTCCTACACTGTTTGGGATTATACGACGTGTTATCAGCTAATGACCATGGTTAAATTTTGCATTTGTAGTAGAGGGTCTGAAATCATACCCTTGATTTCGAAATCGAACGAGCGGGCAGCTTGAGTTTTATTTGAAATCCCAAGTATTATTTTCAGACAAAAATTATGCTCCATTCCGTCCATTACCACTTCATTTCATCTATTTTGAAATAACAAGAAATCAGTCACACAAATACAAGTTTTTAAATAAAGACCCGATTTAGAGGAAAAATTGTGTTTCGTAAATAAATGACATAATTAACCACCTTCACTAACCTTAATTCCTATTGAAAATGATACTTACCTAACGTTGGAGGTAAAGGGCGACGACGACAATAGAAAACTATCAAGCCAATCAGAACAATTGCAACTATTGTAGAGAGGACAGCTGCAATAATGGCAGTACCTTTCTTATCACTGTCTGTAAGAGAGAGATGAGGCATATTTCTAAAAAACAATTGCTGTATGATCGTGTATATTTACTGCATATGAGGCATATACTGTTTTTGCTATAAAAAAGAGAAAAACAAATAATTTAACCATTCCCAGGTAGCAATCAAAACTGCCAGTGACAAACTTTGAGATCGTATGTTTTGGTTTTTCAAGAAAGTTGTCTCTGTACCAAATATAAGTTTTTTTTATAGGATAACGCAGAGACTATGGTGAGGTTGCACAATATCAGAAAAACAACTTGCCGACTAGCACCTCACAATCACCCATGGCTGACAAAAAATTTCGGTGTCCTCGACTCAGTGAAAAGAATAGTAAATTGTAGTGAACAATATCTTCCCACGATCTATATCTTACAGGGAATACGTACGTTTGGTCCCTGATTCACAACAGAGTAATGGTGTCATGAAATAAGATCTCAAATAAAGTATAGCAGACAACAAAAACAGGGAATTAGATCCAACTGCCCCTAACCAACAGGTGCGAATCAGGCTAGCTAACATAAGGTTTTCAACCTGGTGGGGCAATATTCCTATACTCCCATTGTTCCACACTAATTGGTGGAAAGTGAACCAATGCAAGGGAAGTTATGAATAGTCCTCCATGTATTAAGCCCCACCGCTTATCCCCCTCTCATATTTCTGTCCAGTTTACATTCGGCTTTCTACATTTTAATAAAATTCCTTGATTCTAACTTTGTTTAAGGCTGTAAAATTTCAAACCTACCTGTAGAATGAGTTGCGTGGACTACAAAGAGAGAAAAAAAATCAGAAGGAAATTACTCTGGCTGTCTGAGCTGGAGTGGTATTTTGAACAGTTCTCTTAAAGAACATATCATAAAAAATAATATTATATGTAGTAACAACGCTGATTATAATTGTCTTATAATGTGGAGTTTTTTTTTTTTGGATGAAAGTGACTTTTAAAACTTGGGATAAAGTTTTATATTTTCGAACTTACCTGTAGACTGAGTTGTTTGGACTAAAAAGGAGAAAAAATCAAAAGCAAATTACAAGTTTCCCTATGGCATATATAATATAGAATATATCATAAGTACCAAAATTACAAATAGTGGCATCGATGATTATAAATTAAGACGCATTAAACCGTGAAGTGATATCTTATTAATATAAATAGAACTATAAAAAGGACTCTTGAAAGGCCCACATAATAATCAATCTCTGTTTCATTAAGTTTTTAAGTTGAAGGGGTAGTGGACAGTTGCCCAGATATTGACTGATATTGATCCCAAAGGAGGATAGATGAGAAAAATAGTACATTGACTATCTTAAGATTATTTGCAAGTCTAAAAACCTTCCAACACATTGCCCCTTTACTGTGTGCATATTTTAGACATCGTGGCTGCTACCACCCTATTGTTAAGAATAACACAAAACTGAAGCACTACTTAAAAAGTAGTTAAGAGAAGAGGATTCAAGAACGTATCAGGAATAACACCTTGCGAGCTTTGAAAATCAAACATAATTTTCCCTCCTGGAACCTTCTCTGAACCCAAGCAGGATAAATTTTTGGAAACTTATCTTGAAAGGTCATCGAAGGATTTTTCCAACCGAAAAGACCATTTGAAACTAAAGACAGTATTCAATAAATGGTATCACTGTGCCCACTGATTGGCGGTTATTAAATACGGATTAAGGCTTACACCCTTACGACCACGTCGAGGACATAACAGTCTTTTCTCTACAATAAATTTGATAACTGTTTGATTTAAAAAGAGTATGAGGATGAATATGATGCACTAGAACGGGGACACATATGGTATAGGCTTGGAATTGGAACTCAGGATGACGCTGTAGATGAAATTTTGCTCTAGCAGCTCTCCCTCTAAAACTCACCTAACTCCCCTACGCATGGTGTTGGCACTTCGCAAACTGTATTTAAAATGAACAATGTTTCAGACATGTGTAAATCTATCATGCTTTCTTAAAAAAAAGGCTGGCTTTCAGAACGCAGTAGCGTATTAAACACAGATTCTGCTCCCAAATAGTGATTGTAATTATAGCGATTCCACAAGGACTAAGGTGGTGCGTCACTGGGAAAGTGCAATATTAAATTGTTAACTGATATTTGATAAAAGCATATAAACCGCTGCCGCGAATTTTGAAAGAAAATCTAGTTTTCGTCATTATCTTACTGGTTTGTACTGAGCTAAAAAGATGTAAGAAAAAGTAAATATTAACAGAAGAAATAAAAAAATAGACCAGTGAACAAATGCGAATAAACAAAATACAAAACAACCATTAGAAGCTCATTGACTCATTTTTGGCTCAGAGCGTTCACAAAACTTACGGATTGGAAAGTCATAGAACATGTGCACAGGATATGGCAGAGAAGTAATCTGAAAAACAAGATTATCATCGATTTTCTTCAAGGATATATCTAGGGTGTTAAGGAAAGAAATGATTTTCCTAACATTTACGGAGTAAAAACTTGAATGAAACGTCCAAAGACTCTGATATTCGTTTTGTTACGAGCTATATATCTTATCCGATTGATTTCTCCTTTTGACAAAGACTATACATATAGTGAAGTACTTTGTCTAAATCCAAGGACAAAATCACAAAAAAACTGATTAGTCGGGAAAGAAATTAGGTTGAAATAAAAAGGCGAGTATTGTACGTTTTTTATTATTATTATTATTATTATTATTATTATTATTTTACGATTCTTTATTTCCTTATCTTATTCTTTCTCTTTCAAGTTTTTCTGTTAAATTCTAACAGAAACTAATCTTATTTCGGCATGAGTTATCAAACCAATTGAAACAAAATAAGCAAAGAGCTTTCCCTATTAGAAGAATGGTTTCATCGACAAAACCAACTCGCAAAAGGATTCGAAAGCACCTGAGCAACTATACAATTAAAAACTATTAGCAATTATTTGTGATACTTACGTAAAGCACAAGATAAGAATCATTCATCATTCCGTAAGAAGAATTAGTTATGGTAATGTTCGTAGCGTTCTAGAAAGAAAAGATCGCAAAATTAAGGCGGCCCGATGCTATTCTTCCATACAAATGTATTTCCGAGAGGTAAACTATTCGATAACCACCTTATCTTGTAAAGTTTGTAAGCGGTAAAAGAATTTTAAATTCGACAAAGTCTCATCCTAGGTACTGACTCCCAGCATTTTGTTTATCGATTTTTTCATCATGGGCGTGTTTTCCTTGCTTCCCCTTCACACGTATAACACTCACAATAAGCCCTGTGCCCATACGCAAAATAAGTCATCGATCTACATGATTTACGTTACGTCGTCGTTACTACTCAGTCGTCATGCCCTCACCTTATCCAATTCTTGACAATGGGTTTTGGCATCGTTATCGCTGGTGAAATCTATAATTGCGTATATTATTCCGTATCCAGTCCAGTTAGTCAACTGAACTGAAAGAAACAAATACTACAATCTTACTCCTGAATTTCTCGTCATTTCCGTTCATGATATTTCTGTAAGGGTTGTAGAGGTCGAAAAATGAGGAGACGCTTATCAGGTATTCGACAATGCATCGCTGGCCCCTTTTTTTTATTGATTTTATCTCCAGCTCCGCCAATCTCTTAAGCAGCCGTTATTTGTTTTCGTCACGCAACGTGCTCACTCCCTCGGTAATCGTAATCGGGGAGAAATTGCATTAACTGACAGCGAAACCTCATTATTTTGGCTAATCTAGAGTTTGTTTAAGATCACAGACGGTATTAAGATACGTCATCTTTCTGAATGTCCGAGAGAACGTCCCCTTTTTATTATTCCTATCCGCAAACAAAAATTAAATCATAAATAAGATCCACCAAATTAAATCGAGTTGCATTTACAATGTCGATGAGTTGATATTAAACTCTCTTTTATACCTAAAAAATGACTCAAGGTTTACTTCGATACCGTGAAAAATGCTGGTATTCCACTTACTATCAAAAGGTGTCCATGATATCGTTGCGATATACCTCCCCGTGTTGTTAAGCTCTTCATATGTTGTCTCCACGTCATCGGTAGTGAAGGACTTTTCAACTCTTGACTTGTTCCCCAAGCATCTTAATAACCATTCTGATACCAATGACGAAATGTGCTTAATTTTCACGTAAAATAAACCCTTTCCCAAACAAACCTTTCATTTCATTGGAGCAAACAAACAAACAAACATAGACAATGTGAGAGTAACAGTTAACTAAGAGAGATCATCTACAAAATTAACCTGGGTAACAGCGGACAGAGAGTTCTGATGTCATTTTATGTCTGAGAAACGTTCACTTAGGTAAGCCCATGATATGGAAATTTTAAATGAGGCAGCCAGTCCACTCCCCATAACCCTCTGTAATTTATGGTTGAGAACTGCTGCAACTCGATTCAGATTTGAATTTTGGTAAGAATGTGTTAGGCGAAGAATTATGCCTTTTTCTTTTCAGCCATAGTAAGATATTGTTCCAAAAATACAGTCCAGTAGCCCTGAGAGAGATTATGGTTATTGTAACTGGGTTGCCTTTACTAGTGCAACTCTCAGGCATAGTGGACGATCGAGTAATGAGAATGTGTCCTCGTTTCGCTGTGGATAATCTGCCTCCATCGAGGACTTGTTTGTAGTACAGACATTACAGAGATGCATCAGGAAAGACAGTGAAGTCGATTGTTTATAATTTATATATTTTGGTGTGTATCGAGCTTAATTAGAACATAACATGATTTAGTATGTTGTTACGAAATGACCACTACCATAGGATAGTCAATCAGTCGCTGAAATTACTGCATGATACCTATTTTCTATCTTTACTCCCACTCGTCTCGAAAGTAAGTACATGTTATGCTCCCCATAACATAAGTCACAGGCTCATTTGGAAGATTGCTGATTTAAAATCGGTGCCCACGGTTTGAAAGCAGAGAAAGCGCGAAAATACAAGCTTTAAGAAAATATTTCTCAAAGGTAAGACACAATTAGCACGAATAACGCCTGAAATCGAGAATTTCGTCGCCTTGGCTTTCGAAAGAAATTAACTCAATTTTTAGCTATAATTCTCCTTTAACTAGCTATGATAAAACGCAGCTCGTATTCAGCGAAAGTTTACCGCCTGAAACCGCAAAACCCGCGTTCGATCAGGTTTAGAGTACATGATCATCTACAGCCTCATGGCCAAGCACGCGCGTGAGCGCCACATCCAGTCTTAGATTACAACCATGATATAAGACAAATTACAAAGAAAAGAGTAAAGAGTACCGTTGCCTTACTTTATTGCTTGTCGATACATCACAATAACAGCAGCAAATTAACTTTAAATATCATAAATTGCGGTTTGACATACCCTTTACCTTTAAAATGAACCATTTGACTTTTCGTTGTGGTTAAATCGATTCCCAATTCGATCTTTTCTGAACACTATAAAACTTAAAATCCACCATTTGTCCTCCTTTACGGGACGCAAAGTTGATAAAAGTGTTAGAAAGTCCTTTAGTTTTCGAAGCCAGCACGAAGATACTGGTACCTTTTCAAAAATCTCGATGCTTTGTTTTCATCCGAAACCTCTTTTGTAATGCAAAATTAAAATCATTCCACGATGTTAAACCGATTCCAAAAGACGATGAAAAGCGGCCAAAACTTGGTGAAATTCGATGCGAGGGAAGGTAGAATTTTAAATTCCTCAGGTGATTGGCAATAAACCATGTTTCGGAGGCGCAAAACCACTCTTTTCATTGCGAATCGTCCACCATTTTGCTTCCCAGAATCTCTAGGGTAGCTTAGTAGCCTCCCCTAGTATTCATAGGTAACCTCGTATTTTTAACCTTGTTGCATTTCGTTACGCTACATTTGTTACACAATTTGTCACACATGTCTGACGAACCCACTAGATGTTCCTTGAATTTCAAGAGGCACATTGCGATCAGCCGACCAGAAATTCGTTATTCAGCTGAAGTGAACGAGAGGAAAATCATTTTTTTCTGTGGAAATTCTACTGCCACTTCCTAAGGATTGGCAAAAAGTCGTAAATGAACAAGCTTCCGATCGTGGGGGAACTTCCGGTCCAAATTCGGCAACGGGAAGTGAAACTGAACAAGCCGATTCATCCCAGGGTAGTAGAAAAGGAGAATATGTGGATCTTCTAGAGTACTCTGTACTTTACAGGATGTTCGCTATTACGGATAATCAAGCAAAAAATTAGCAACCACTCACGCTGCTGTGCAATTATACAAGAAAACCAAGGAAAGGACAAGAAAAGATTTAGATGAAAAAGTGAAAATATTTCACGTCCACGAGGGTCAAACGAAATCTGTTAAAGAATTATACGAAGAAATAGAACGTCTGAAAGATGAAATACAAGAGTGGCGAAGCAAACTAAGACTCTCGAAGAGGAGAGAAAAAGGCCAGTGGAAAATATGACTGAACGAGCTCCTTGGAGCAGACAAAAAAATTATCCCAAGTGTACTTCCAGACAAATTGAAGAGTTTTTTGCGTCCAGAAACATCAGTGGCTGTGATAAGGCTATGGAAAGAATTACTGTACAAGGCTGTCGATGATTGGGCCCCTGAGGTTGAGTTGCGGTTTGTTTGTATGGTTGTGTGAAAAGGTAAAAGAACGTTATTGATCACGGAACCCTTGTCTGTTTAGTATATATAATCATTCTGTTTCAGACTTACCGGGATATTCTTCTCCGCTGGGATATGTCGGCTTAATTCGTTCGCTGACAACTGCATCGAGAGAAAAGAAATTGATATCATCTTCACTGTTTCACTTTGCTAATTTTGTTGTGCATTTGAGGAGTGAAATATACACTTATCAAGTATCACGGAGCTAAAATGAAAATTTTAGTCTCGCATTTGTCGCGCACAGTTTTTAACCGAAAACGTTACTATAATGAAATATTTCGCTCACACGTTTTTACTATACCTGATGTGTTTAAGGATGTCTGATTCCTTTGGCTGTTAGGGACATCTGAAAATAATGACAAAATGAAAAAAGGTAATAGAGTAAAAAAAACAATTGACATAAAAATCATAAACAACTACAACTTTTTTCATTTATCTTAACCGAAGAGGCTCAAGACTCAAAACAGCTGAATTAATCTACAGCTAATCTAATTACCATGCACTGATAAATGAATCATGGGACGAATAAGAAACTATTGGTCTGTTGTAGGATTGATTATTACTTTTAGTTGCTATGTTTGTTCTCATCGTGGTTTTTTTTGTTGTAGTTTTTTCCATTTCTCTGGTGACCTTCTTTGTTCAATTGAAATTTCTCCTCCAAATCAATTATAAAATACCAATAAGGATTTGAGATATTGCAATTGAGATATATTTAAAACGTAAAGACTTCTGTTGAAGGCGTCTTGGAAAGCTTAAGAAGTACACTCAAGTTTTAAATAGAAGAATCCGGCCAACATTTAACGGGAATCAGGTACCCTTGGGTATTTACCAAAATATTAAGTCAAATTCACAGTCCATTCCTCTCATGTGTTCATATAATTTATTAATTTAATTACCTCGTTTGATTCTCATAATTGACGACGTGTTTTGTGCAGTAACCAGGCGGCTTCGCTCGTTCATAGGAGAATGCTGTTTCCCTATTAGCGAGAGGAAAGTATATACATGGACATGTTTAAACAATAAATGCAAGGGCGCTTCAAGGAGAAGTAAAATGTTTTTAAGTTAAAGAGTCTTAAGGTAAATTATATATGATATATATTCCCTACAACTAACTGAGAGGTTCCATTCACATAAACGTCCTAAATGCGTTTCGTGAGTAAACTGATGGTTGATGAAAGTAAAGCTAAAGCATTGACGATTTCCACTGCGATTCACATAAGGAAAACATCATTACTTCCTCACCCAACGTTCGATCCTCAATAGGTATGGCAAAAACAGAATTTTGCAAGATACCTTCATGCATGCAAACATTGTTACCCGATGACTGATCACGAGCTATCAATGAGCAGCAGATCGTCTGACTGACTCGTGATTTTCTGACAAACAACTCGTTTGTTGGACTGGCTCTTAAACTGTTTGTCTGACCATCTGATCGATCGACCGACTGAAGGTCAGATTGACCGTTTGAACACCAGCTTATTCATTGACCTATTAACTGACCGAGGGAACGCAAAAGTAATGAGAAAGTCAAGTAAAAAAATCGATTGAAATTGTTTTCTTAGCTAAGGGTGGTTACACAAAAAAATACACGAAGATTTTGTCTATTTTAATAAGTTAACGCTTGAGAGTTTGCCACCAATTTGTTTTAACAAAATTCATACCTTCCTTTTCAATGCACTTTGCGTAACAGAAATGATCCACTGGTACCTGTAAGATACACCAAAATCACAATTGGCTGAAAAAAGAACCTCAGCCCTCTAGTTATATCACGAGACTTGCATTCCGTTTTAAATATTACGCTTTCAACAAAATCACTCTACCGCGAAATACAATACCAGTGCGTGTACATGTATTCATTAGAGGCTTAGGCTTAAGGCTTATATCACTTCAAATGCTACCTCGTAAATGCAAGAATGAGAGCAATATCGAGAATAGGAAAAGAAAACGACACACTCCAGTCAAAAATGATAAAAAGAAAAATGTCTTTACAGCACTTACCTACACTCATACACGTAAACATCATCGATACAATAGTAGAGCTCTGTCAGTTATTCTTTGTCTCTGCCTACAGTCAAATATCTAGGAATCTTTGGCCACTTAGTGATTTTAGGTAAAGCTGATGCAATATTTCCTCGAAAATTCAAAGTTTTCTCTTTTTTCATTAATTGGTAATTTTAAATACATTGTTGTTGTTGTTTCTTTTTCTTACACCTGATTGCAGATTTCGCTCCTAATCTCAAGTAGAAAATTATTTCTTATTGAACTTCAGTGTTCACGATATACAAGTGCCTCATCTCGTAATCCTGCTATTCGAATTGAAGCCGATGTTTGTGTACATGTGTTTGTTACTTTATTTGTGTTTTCAAGTTAAATATCATCGAAACGGTCCTATTTTGGGGGCTGAAACAGATCTTTTTTATTTACATTGCAAGTGTTATCATCTCAGTGTTGTTTTTTGTCAGTCAACCAATAATCTAAAGTCTTAAAACATTGGATATAATCGCAATAAATACTAATCACGATATTTCCATCCATCTTGAACAATTTAGAAGAAATTTGACGGATGGAGTAAGAAAAGTACCTGTGGAACTGAAGGAAACTTACTATAATTTTTTCCTTTGCGCTCAATGTACTTCCAGTTTGTTTGTCATTTAATCACGCCGGTCTTTGTTACAGAAATTATGCTTTAAATTCATACATTGGATAGAAATATCAACCGTGCTAATGTCACGCCACTCTGTACAGGATGTAGTTCCACCATATCCGTTCGAAAGAGCCCGTTTTAATATTCAGTTGGTATTCTACGCAGTAGACGCCCTAGACATTAGAAATTCCAAGATTCACCGAGGTTATCTGCAGCTTTTCTTCTCTCTCTTCTTTACCTTTTCCTGTTTTATGGATTAACTACTCATATTTGCTTAAAACACCAGGACAGGAACTCGTGATATACAAGATTAAGGTAATTTTTCAAGAGTGTTTTAAATTATTTCCCTTTCAATTCTTGATTCCCGTTTTTATCATACAAGTCACCGGCTTTGTACCACTCCTTCATCTCTTACTACGTCACTCTTTGTAACTTAATATAGAGAGAATGTAGACTGAAACCCGTAGGTCTTGTAGAAGATAGAGTACTGTGTTAACCGGTTATGATTGAAAAAGTAATTATGCTCTGTATTACCTTTCCATTCAGTCTAAAAGCACTCTAAATTCAGAAGGTAGGTAACGTTATTTCAAAACAATGAAACCGGCAACAACGACAGAAAGAGTACACAAATTGTAATACATGTATTTATGAGAAACCGATGAGAAAAACGTAAAGATAAGGAAGCAAAACAAAATTATCAAAACAAGTATTAACCTTATATAACCTGGGGTTCTATCAAGTCAAAATGAAATAATTTGCAATCCATCGTTTTCCTTCTAAGAATGGCAAAACTACACTTTAATATGGAACTCATAAACCTCTGGAGTGTTGAGAGAATGAACGCGCTACATCACAAAACTCAGCTTAACATCAATTTGTCGGTCCCAAATATTTAACAGAAAAGCTTAAAACGAGAAAAAACGTCCCGTTGCACCATCTAATAAACTATTTCAAGTTCAGAAAGATATATGCTGGTGGCATAAATCAATAGAAATAGTTAAGGGTATTTAAGCCTGCTCCAAAACAAAGAACTTTTAAAATATCTATAACCTGAACATAACCTCCTTGTTCACAAAGGCAAGAATTGAGAAAGACCACTGTAACAAGACAAAGAACGCGCCTTCCTGTTGGAATAGATGCATGTAGGAAATGATTACATAACCATCCTTCGAGAAATTTTGTGGTTTGGAAATAAAACGCTCAAGACAGGGCTGGCTGGTCTAAATCAAGATAACCCATTTTTGTATGCATACAGGCTTGCTAGAAACCAAGTTGAAATGCTTTGTGGTAAGAAGGGCAGACAGTTGATAATTTCTGTTCACGATCGTCCTGGACTCGACTTAGCGCAAATGCATCGCGAGAGTAAATTCCCGTGCCTTGAAAGTAATGACTCATGAAGAGTGCTCGTAAAACAGCTTGACTGAAGCTGTTTTACGAGCACTCTTCATGAGGAGCATAGGAATCATAACCTCTTGAAGAGGTTAAGATTCCTATGCTCCTTAATTAACCTTAAGGGTCTTCTGATATTTGCCTTTCAAAAGGGAAGGTGTCTACTTCCGAAATCTGCCCTCAGCATTCTTTCTTTAGAAACTGATCTGATATTTTCATTGAAAAGGCGGGTTAGGGCGGGTTTCTGTACATTTTTCTTTAGAACCAAGATGAAATTTGAAATATTGCGCCTTTCTCATACCGTTATAAGTGAGGTTTGATATCCCATCTTAACATCTAGAGTCACAATTCGTCGGAAAGAAGGCCGAATGATTGGGAATGAATATAACATTGCACAAGGAAATTTCTTTTGTAATCTTGCCTATTGCTTTTTACGACTAATTTGTCATTGAGCTAAACTAAACATCGTTCCAAATGTTTGAATTTCTAATTACCTTTTCGCCTGATAGTTCTGCGTCATTGGCTTGAAAGATGATGCTACATCTCCTCAAACAGAGCTCCATCGGCCCTGTTAACTTCGAAGCATTTGAAATTCTAGAAGAACTTCGACACAGCACGGGCACAAGTGCAATATTGCTCCAAATGAGCCCCAAAAAAACTCTGATGAAGAAGTATTCCCACATTGTTTTTCGTCAAGCTTCCTTTGTGCTAAATTTTCATGCACAGACAACTCGAACTGCTTGTATACATTTGGGTAGCAGTCATCTGGTAATCATTCCGGTTATTCTTTCAAGCACCAAATATTTGCTTGTTCAAGAATGCACCAGTTTTAGCCGCACAACGACACACTTAGATTGAAGAAACCCACGAAAGATACAAAAGAGATAATTCAAAACAAAAACAGCAAAGATGGAAACATCAATAAACAGAACGAGGCTGTATGTTGAAGGTTGAAAGTGAACGACACCGACTGCCAGCTACCGAAAGTTCAGAATAAATGAACCGTAAGGTTGTATCGTTCACACTTAAGGCTCTCAAAGAGGCTTATGTGAATATCCACTCAGACGTCATTTGATGTAAAAATAAAATCACCTCTAACTTCCCTTGGAATACAGGAAGTAAACAAAACGTAATTCAAGAAGATAAATTTATCGAACTGTCTAGCATTTGCTACAATATTCCAACTACGTGCCGAAATGTTTTAAAATGGGTACACCACGATTTATTAAGTAGATTTTTGGGAAGCGGTAAGCTTCCTTCAGATCAAATCAAATTTGAATACAATACCTTGTCTTGCTGGGAAAAAATAACTCAAAAATTGTTATGAAAGGATCGGACAGACCACTATGGTAAAACTTTGACTCTTTTAATAAGAACCAGTAGCGATCAAGGAGTAAGTTATAATCGTGATATCTTCAAACAGAGGAAAAGCGATATAAGTTTTTAGACATTTAGCGGATTATAATTCAACGACATAGTTAATACAAAAGTCGTTTAAGTTCCTGGAGACGCCACTTCATGCTGTATCCGACGGTAATCAGATCTAGAGGGCGTGCCTGTGCTTTTTCCGCTTTCTCTGTTGGACTCTATATCGATTTTCTATTTTCTCTTGTGACAAACCACATTTAAAGTTCAATAGGTAGAAGGTTCTTAGCGCTTTACATACTGTTTCCAGTCAAAGACACACGACTAATCAGGAGTGACAATTAATTGGTTGATATAGTTCTTTTCCTATTTAAAAGCATCCCATTCAAAAACTGAAACCACAAAAGCTTCTTATCAGGAAAAGGCTAAGACACATCTCAGAGCGTAATTCTATGGGCAAAAAAAAACAAAAAGAAAAACCGAAAGAGCAGTTATTTTCCCCCATCTTAACCGATAGCATAGATGGCCTCGTTACATAAGCGGCCAGTGATTTTAAAGTAACTCAAGCGGCAATTTAAAATGAAGGCATGAGGATTAGGTCCAACACTTATGGAAAAAAACAATTATCTTAGGAAACGAGTCTTTTCTTCAAGGATTCGGATCTCTCGACACAAAATTCTCTAGCAAATTGTTCGTCTTCAAGATCTTTATCACCCTGAGATTTAGATAGCATTTGTATTCGGCGCACCTCTTTAAAACAAACAAAAATTCTATAATTTTTAGGTCCATATTGCCTCTTGATTTTTCAGTAACAGATTATAAATGACCAAAAAATGATGTTGCAAGAGCTCAAGAGTGGCTCAGGAGGCGCACTCTTTTTAGCCTTCCTCTTTTTCCTCTCTTCCTTTCCAGTTTTCCTTTCTGCATATCTGACTGAAACGTAATAGCAATAACAGTCACTTTTACAAGATATTTTCAAACCTAAAGACCTGACCAACATTTTCTCTTAAGTTTCCGTTTCAACCGATTTTCAGCAGGAAGTTTGCCTATGTTTGATAACAAATAAGCCATCATCTTTCCTTTCCCCTTGGTGGATTGATGGCGTAATCCAGCTCTAACTCACAACTCTGCTTAATGTTAAAAAAGTGATTGGAAACTGAAGCGCTTGTCTTCTTACGTGTTTTGACTAAAGGAAATTCTAAGAGTGCGATATCAGTCAATCAATCTTTATATAAAAAGCTGAGTTACGAGCGCATTTTGAATTGCTCTTCAATTATGATGTATTGAAGGGAAGACGCATAGAAGATATCACCATTAACAATGTTTTCTGCCTCTTTATTACATAAAAACAAATAGATCACATGTTTCCCTGCATTTGTTCAGTAATCGATAACAGACGCTTGGCAACACGGATTCTTTTTGTTAAGTAACGTAATGCACACAACACTTCAAGTCTTGGGAGCTGTAAATAAGGAAGGCGTGGTACTCAAATTCCATATCTGAAACAGAAATTTCATCAGATTAAACAATTAATAACCTTAAAAATCGACGAGAACCTGAACTAAAACCGGCCGGTGGTGAATGTTACACAGTTCTTTTGAAATTCTTAAAACACGAAGTATCGGAAAAAACAATACAACTTACCAGGCAATGAAACTCACAGACGTCGAAGACGATAGCAAAAAAAATATAAGAACAACAGCACATGTTGAGGAGATGGAAGCTGCCATGTTGGTAACACTTTTTTTGTCGCCACCTAAAGAGAAAAAGAGTTTTTTTGTTGATGACTGCTGTATATACACAAAACACGAAGGACAAATATTTACGATTCAAAAATGACACTTTGACCTTACAAGACTAGGAACAGTCGAAATTATTTGAATTGAAGACATTGGACTTTTCTCGCGAAGAGTTGTTGAAGGTCTCAATGTAATAACTGTCCTAAATGTAATAACATTCGGCCCTAAATGTAATAAAATTCGGCCCTAAATGTAATAACATTCGGCCCTAAATGTAATAAGCCTTTAATGCAATCGTTTAACTCCGTCAGAGCATTGTTGTTGTAGCCGACATTTACAGTGAGATGTTTATGTGACAGCTGTTGCACTAAGGAATCCTCTGACCAATATTTGGTATATTGCAGGCTCGTTGATCTTAATCAGCGTCTTTTTATTTGCTAGAGACGCAAGTCGATAAGTATGACCACAAACCCTTATACTGATGTGCTTTTGGCATCAAATTGACAGACGTGAAAACAATGAGAACGTTGACCAATACCTCTCTCTATGTTATGGGCTCAGACTCTTTAGTGCAACAGATTTTGACGATATATTTGTGTGATCAGTGCTGAAGTTAACACTTTATGAACCAAATTACAAGGAAAAGGAAGTCCACTGACCCATACGTAAGACAAATTCCGGAATCGGAAGTGAATATTTTGCATTGTCTTCTCTTGCTAGATTTGGATGGGTCTGCATGAAATATATTCACATACGTTAATGACCAAGCGTGAGGTCAAGATGGATGCATATTGGCCAAGTTCTTTTGTTGCGTTTTTGTGGACCGAGACGAAGTCGGGGTCCATAAAAACGCAGAAAAAGAACAAGGTTAATATCCAGCCATCATGACCCAATAAGCTTGGTCAAGAGAGAACATATATTCCACAGTCGATCTCAAGTCGATCTTATTTATGGTTTTTGGTCTTTATCTCTTCTCCCTGCCATGAGAGGAGAAAATGAATAGATAAATAAATAAATGAAAAAAGAAAGCTCATCAGTTTGCACTTATAGTTATAAGGCACATGAACTGATTATCGAGGTGGAGAGAAGCCATACAGGGATCCCAAGTTAAAAAAATGTATATTCGAGCCTGCAAATTGTCCTATAGGTGAGCGGACTCCCTTGACTAAGTTTGTAATCTGGTTTATGACTTGCTAACTCGATCACTGATCACACGAGTATTACGTTATCACATTTTTCCAAAGTCGATTGTACCAAATAGTCTGTGCCAGTGATATTTGGAGATAGTTATAGGTCAGCGTACTCATTGTTTTGACAGCTGTCATTTGATGCTAATTGTTTATCAGTGTAACGGTTTGCAATGCTTCTCGACTTAAGTCTAGCAAATAAGAGGACGCTGATTAATATCAACGAGCCCGCAATGTGACATGAATACTGGTCATAGGATTTTTTGGTGCAACAGCTGTCACTTCAACATCTCAATATGGATGTCCGCTATAACAACATTGCACTGGCGGAGTTATACGATTGTATGGGAGGCTTATTTCATTTAGGACTAAATGTTATTACAATTAGGCCTTCAACAAGAGTGTCATCATATATAGTTTACAATTTTTCCTTGTGCAAACAAGAGTAGATTTTTATAGAAGAACGTGGAGGCAATAAATAGTTTCTTCTTTCAGGAATTTATGAAAGGCTTGCTTGCTTCTAATAAACTTTCCTAAACAATCTGAAGTCTGGGAATTTTTTCAGCCGAATGAATAGAAGGGTACGTTGTAGAACCATTTCTTACAAACGACACCTTTGGCCCTGATTTACAGTTACCACGGCGGAATCACGTCATGAATGAGATATCAAACAGAGTTCATCAAACAAGGAGCGGCATGAACTGGATCGAGTGACTTCGAACCAGCTGCGTATCACTGAAGGAATTTCGCTCTGGCAAGGCATGAATTCTATACTCCAAATGTTCAACGTCAGATCTGATTGTTTCTGAGTTTTGAAATGCAATTGAACCAGTCCCCACCCCTGTTTATCACTCAGTTTTGCTTCTACTTTACCAATCAAATCCAACTTTGTCCATTCTAATCATTGTTATTTTATTCCAAGGAGAGAGGTATTTCGAAAGGACAATTTTGGTCAATTAAGGCCGTTAATTGGAAACCTACCTGTAAACGTAGGGCGTCTCTGGGCTGCAAAAAAGAGGTAAAAGAGAAAATAAAACCATCAGAAGGAAAATTGCTAATAATAGAGATTGGTTGCCACGTTTTATACTGCTCCCCTTCAAGGAGGGAATTAGATCGAATAGTTTTGCATATTCAAAGTCTCCGCCCCTTCCTTTTTTATCTATTTGTTGAGATTACCTCTACTCCTTCAAGTATAGCCTTTTAATTTTAAAATTTTGTTGATTTAAAACCTACCTGTGAGTTAAGTTGATTGACCGATGAAAGAGCAAAGGAGGATAAATAAGAATAATAGTACATTGACTACCTTAAGATTACATGCAAATCTAAAAACCCTCCAACACATTGCCCCTTTATTGTGTGAATATTGCAGACATCGGGGCTCCAACACCTTGTTATTAAGAATAACACAAAACTGAAGCACTACTTAGAGAGCAGTTACGAGGAAGGATTGGGGAACGTATCAGAAATAATACCTTGCGAGCTTTGAAAATCAAACATAATTTTTTTCTTCTGGGACCTTGTCTGAACCAGAGCCGGAGAAATTTGTGGAAAATTATCACGAAAGATCATCGAAGTATTTTTCCAACTTAAAAGACCACAAGAACCAGAGGCAAATACCGCACCTTTTTCAAAGCTTATTTTGAAACTAAAGACAGTATTCAATAAATGATATCACTGTACCCACTGATTGGCGGTGATTAAATACGGATTAAGGCTTACACCCTTACGACCACGTCGAGGACATAACGGTCTATTTTCAACAAAAAATTTGATTACTAATTGATTTAAGAAGAGTTTGAGGATGGGGATGATGCACTGGAACGGGGACACATATGGCATAGGCTTGAAATTGGAACTTAGGACGGCGATGTAAATTAAATTTTGCTGTAGCAGCTCTCCCTCTGAAAACTCACCTGACTCCCCTACGCATGGTGTTGGCACTTCGCAAACTGTATTTAAAATGAACAATGTTTCAGAGATGTGTAAATCTATCATGCTTCCTTTAAAAAAGGCTGGCTTTCATAACGCAGCAGCGTATCAAACACAGATTCTGCTCACAAATTGTGATTGTAATTATAATGATTCCACAGGGACTAAAGCGGTGCGTCACTGGGAAAGTGCAATATTAAATTGTTAACTGATATTTGATAAAAGCATATCAATTGCTGCGGCAAATTTTGACAGAAAATCTACTTTTCGTTATTATCTTACTGATTTGTACTCAGCTAAAAATATGTAAGAAGAACTAAATATTAACAGAAGAATAAACAAATAAACCAGTGGACAAATGCGAATAAACAAAATACAGAACAACCATGCATTAGAGGCTCATTGACTCATTTTTGGCTCAGAGCTTTCACAAAACTTACGGATTGGGAAGTCATAGAACATTTGCACAGGATATGGCAGAGAAGTAATCTGAAAAACAAGATTATTATCGATTTTCTTCAAGGATTTATTAAGGGTTTTAAAGAAATAAATTATTTCCGCAACATTTACGGAGTAAAACCCTGAATAAAACGTCCAAAGACTATGATATTCGTTTTGTCAAGAGCTATATTTCTTATCCGAATGACTTCTCCTTTTGACAAAGGTTATACATATAATAAAATACTTTTGCTAAATTCAAGGACAAAATCACAAAAAACTGATTAGTCGGGAAAGAAATTGGGGGGAAATAAAAAGCCGAGCATTATACGTTTTCTTTTTGTTTTTGTTTGTTTGTTTGTTTGTCTTTTTTTATGGCTCTTTATTTCCATGTCTTCTTCTTTCTCTTTCAAGTTTTTCTGTTAAATTCTAGCGGAAACTAATCTTATTTCGGCACGAGTTTTCAAACCAATTGAAACAAAATAAGCACAAAGCTTTCTTTATAAAAAGGATGGTTTCAAGGACAAAACGAACTCGTCATAGGATTCGAAAGCACCTGAGTAACTATACTATAAAAACTATTAGCAATTATTTGTGATACTTACATAAAGCACAAGATAAGAATCATTCATCATTCCGTAAGAAGAATTAGTTATGGTAATGTTCGTAGCGTCCTAAAAAGAAAAGATCATAAAATTAAGGTGGCCTGTGCTATTCATCCATATAAATGTATTTCCGAGAGGTAAACTATTCGATAACCACCTTATCTTGTAAAGCTTGTGAGCGGTAAAAGAGTTTTAGATCGACAAAGTTTCATCCAAGGTAGAATACGCCTGATATGCAAACGTTAATATTTTGTCCCACAAAGAGATGAAGGCCATTTGTCTTAGAAAAAAAGAGGAAAAAAGTAAATGAATAAAAACAGTTGAAATGTTCCTTACAATGGCAGAAAAGAAATCCTATTATATTTTCAATCTATACTTAAAAATTGTGCGACCCAAACATATAGCAGGTGTAACTACAAATGATAACAAGAACACTACTGAAACGAGTAGTTGTAAATAGGACCTGAAAAATCCAATCCAAAAAAAAATCCTGAAATCTTCATTCACTTGGATGTTTATTTGGACCCAATTCATTGACCAGCTCCGAGTTGGCTTGTTAGCTTAATTGGTAGAGCGCTGCACCGGTATCGCAGAGGTCATGGGTTCTAATCCCGTACGGGCCAAAAAAAAAAAGGATTTTTTTTTGGATTGGATTTTTCAGGTCCTATTTACAACTACTCGTTTCAGTAGTGTTCTTAGCTGCGAGGATCTCCTAATTTCATCTTTCCACCGCAGTGCAAATATGTGAATTTTCATATATCTAAAATCTTGATAACAAGAAGTTTAGGAAAGTAGGCATTTGATCCACTATTACATCAGTTTATCGTATCAGAGCAACAGAACGCGCAATTTATGCGACGGTATCAAACTCCGTCAAATAGGTTAGATGTATGGACAAAAACTGGAGCAATGACCATGGAATAATGAAACACTTCGATCCTTTATAATTTTTTTTCTCTCGAATGACCCCTCGTTGCTTTCCCATTTCGTTTGCACCCTAAACAATTCTCAGAGAAAGCCGTGGGATGTATCTCGAGAACCAGAAACAATGATAGTGTAATAATATGTCCTAATTCGATGAGTTAACATCTACATGTAATACCAGCAGACTTTTATTACCTAGCAATTTCCGTGTCCCTAAGAAATTCAGAACGCAAATCGCAAAATATCCGATCATCATGCGTATGAAAAACATCAACAAAACGATCACGTATAGGGGTCCTTCATAACCTTACACGTACACCGCCATTGACATTGTTGATCCTAACAAGAGGCAGGACACTAGTGAGGTACGAAGTTGGTATATCGCCCAGCCCGCCATTGAGGTCCTCTGCAGCTCAGCGGTAAAGCTTCGGACCGTGAAATTGGACAATACCAGGTTCGCGTTCTCGTGATGGACCTAAGTATTTTCTTTTCTCCCCTTTTTTCACTCTCCTCTATATTGTGCCTTTCCTCCCTTTCACACGTGTTACGCTCACAATAAGCGCTCATTGATCTGCAGTTTTGATACATTTTAAGATGGTTTACGTTACGTCGTCTTTACTACTCAGTCGTCATCCTCTCACCTTATCCAATTCTTGACAATAGGTTTTGGCAGCGTTATCGCTGGTGAAATCTATTATTGCGTATATTATTCCGTATCCAGTCCAATTGCTCAATTGAACTGAAAGAAACAAATGTTACAATCTTACTTCTGATTTTCTCATCCTATCCGTTCATGGTGTTTCTGTAAGGGTTTTAGAGGTCGAAAATGAGGAGACGCTCATCAGGCATTCGACAATGCATCGCTGGACCTTTGGTTTTTTTTTCATTCATGCAAACGAATTGATTTTATCCGCTTCTCCGCCAGTCCCTTTAACAGCCGTTATTTGTTTTCGTCACGCAACGTGCTCACTCCCACAGTAACCGCAATCGGGGAGAAATTGCATGAAGTGACAGCGAAACCTCGTTATTTTTGCTAATCTAGAGTTTTTTAAGATCACAGACGGTATTAAGACACATCATCTTTCTAAATGTCCGAGAGAACGCCCCCTTTTTATTATTCCTATCCGCAAACAAAAATTGAATCATAAATAAGATCGACCAAATTAAATCGAGTTACATTTACAATGTCGATGAGTTGATATTAAACTCTCTTTTATACCTAAACAATGACTCAAGGTTTATTTCTATACCGTGAAAAATGCTGGTATTCCACTTACTATCAAAAGGTGTCCATGATATCGTTGCGATATACCTCCCCGTGTTGTTAAGCTCTCCATATGTTGTCTCTACATCATCGGTAGTGAAGGACTTTTCAACTCGTGACTTGTTCCCCAAGCATCTTAATATCCATTCTGATAACAATGATAATATGTACTTCATTTTTACGTAAAACAAACAAACCTTTCATTTCATTGGAGCAAACAAAGAAACAAACATAGTAAATATGAGAGTAACAGTAAACTAAGAGAGATCATTTGCAAAATTAACGAGGGTAACAACAGACAGAGAGTTCTGATGTCATTTTATGTCTGAGAAACGTTCACTTAGGTAACCCCATGATATGGAAATTTTAAATGAGCATGCGCATGAGCGCCGCATCCAGTCTTAGATTACAAACATGATACAAGACAAATTACAACGAAAAGAGTGAACAATACCGTTACCTTACTTTATTGCTTGTCGATACATCACACTAACAGCAGAAAATTAACTTTCAATAACATACATTGCTGTTTGACATACCCTTTACCTTGAGAATGAACCATAAAACTTTTCATTGCGGTTAAATCGGTTCCCAATTCGATCTTTTCTGAACACCATAAAACTTAAAATCCACCATATGTCCTCCTTTACGTGACGCGATGTTGCTCAAAGTGTTATAAAGTCCTTTAGTTTTCAAAGCCAGCACGAAGATACTGGTACCTTTTCAAAAATCTCAATGCTTTGTTTACATCCGAAACCTCTTTTGTAGTGCAGAATTAAATTCATTCACGATGTTAAACCGGTTCCAAAAGACGATGAAAAACGGCCAAAACTCGGTGAAATTCGATGCGAGGGAAAGAAGAATTTCAAAGTCCTCAAGCGACCGGCAATAAACCATATTTCGGGGGCGCAAAGCCACTCTTTTCGTCGCCAATCGTCCACCATTTTGCTTCCCAGAATCTCTAGAGTAGCTTAGTAGCCTCCCCATTTATTCATAAGTAACCCCGTATTTATTTTTAACCTCGTTGCATTTCGTTATACCACATTTGTAACACAATTTGTCACACATGTCTGGCGAACCCACTAGATGAATTTCAAGAGACAGATTGCGATCAGCCGACCAGAAATTTGTTATTCAGCTAAAGCGAACGAGAGGGAAAACCTTTTTTTCTGTGGAAATTCCACTGCCACTTCTTAAGAAATGGCACAACGTCGTAAATGAACAAGCGTCCGATCGTGGGAGAACTTCCGGTCAAAATTCTGCAACCGGAAGTGAAACTGAGCAAGCCGATTCATCCCAAGGGCAATAGAAAAGAAGAATATGTGGATCTTCTACAGTACACCTGTACCTGACAAGATGTTCGCCATTACGGATAATCAAGCTGTGAGGCAAAACATTTGCGTCTATTTTATGAAATTTGCTCATGCTGTTGTGCAATTATAGAAGGAAACCAAGGAAAGGACAAAAAGGATTTAGATGAAAAAATGAAAAAAGTTCAGGTCTACGAGGGTCAAACGAAATCTGTAAAAGAGTTATACGAAGAAATAGAATGTCTGAAATGTGAAATACAAAAGTGGCGAAGCAAAACTAAAATTCTCGAAGAGGAGAGAAACAGGCCAGTGGGAAATATGACTGCACGAGCCTACTTGGAGCAGACAAAAAATCTCTCCTAAACGTACTTCCAGACATAATGAAGAGTTTTTTGCGCCTAGAAATATCAGTGGCTGTGAAAAGGGTATGGAAAGAATTTCATCTTATATACAAGGCTGTCAATGATTGAGCCCCTGAGGTTGAGTTGCGGTGGTTTGTTTGTATGGTTGTACGTAAAGTAGGTAAAGGAACGTTACTATCCATTAAACCCTTGTCTGTTTAGTTTATATAATCATTCTGTTTCAGACTTACCGGGATATTCTTCTCCGCTGGGATATGTCGGCTTAATTCGTTCGCTGTTTGGGACAACTGTATGGAGACATAACAGATTGATATCATCTTCGCTGTTTCACTTTGCTAATTTTGTTGTACATTTGAGGGGTGAAATGGTGGTGCGAGTATAACAGAGCTAACATCGAAATTTAAGTCGCGCGTTTGTCGACACAGTTTTTAACCGAAAACGTTGTTATAACGAAATATTTCGCTCACACATTTTTACAATACCTGATGTGTTTGAGGATGTCTGATTCCTTTGGCTGTTAGGGACATCTGAAATAACAATAAAATAAAAAAGATAATAGAGTAAAAAACCAATTGACGTAAAAATCATAACTTTTTTTATTTATTTTAACCAAGGGGGCTCGAGACTCAAAACAGCTGAGCTAGTCTACAGCTAATCTAATTACCATGCACTGATAAATGAATCATGGGACGAATAAGAAACTATTGGTCTGTTGTAGGATTGATTATTACTTTTAGTTGCTATATTTGTTGTCGTCGTGGTTTTTTTTGTTGTAGTTTTTTCCGTTTCTTTAGTAACCATCTTTGTTTAATTGAAATTTCTCCTCCAAATAAATTATAATATACCAATAACGAATTGAAATATTGCGATTGAAATATATTTTAAATGTAAAAACTTCTGATTTGGAGGTGTCTTGGAAAGCTTAAGAAGCACACTCAAGTTTTTAAATAGAAGAATCCGGCCAACATTTAACGGGAATCATTGCAATTTCAGGAACCCTCAGGTCTTACCAAAAGATTAAGTAAATTTCACAGTCCATTCCTGTCATGTGTTCATATGTATATTAGTTTAATTACCTCGTTTGATTCTCATAATTGACGACGTGTTTTGTGCAGTAACCAGGCGGTGTCGCTTGTTCATAAGAAAATACTGTTTCCCTATTGGCGAGAGGAAGGTATATACATGGACATGTTTAAAGAATAAATGGAAGGGCGCTTTAAAGAGAAGTAACATGTTTCTTAGCTAAAGAGTCTTAAGACAAATTATATATGATATATATTTTCTACAACAAAGTGAGATGTTCCATTTACTTAAACGTCCTAAATACGTTTTATGAGTAAACTGATGTTTGATGGAAATAAAGCTAAAACACTGACGATTTCCACTGCGATTCATAAAAGGAAAACATTTTTACTTCCTCACCCAACGTTTGACCTTACATGGCAAAAACAGAATTTGCAAGGTGCCTTCTTGCCTGATCACGAGCCACTATATATAGTATACACTAGATATAGCAGATCGTCTGACTAACTCGTGATATTCTTACAAACAACTCGTTTGTTGGACTGGCTATCAAACTGTTTGTCTGATCATCTGATCGATCGACCGACTGAAGGCCAGATCGACCGTTTGACCACCAGCTCACTCGTTGACCTATTAACTGACCGAGGGAACGCAAAAGTAATGAGAAATCCAAGTAAAAAATCGATTGAAATTGTTTTCTTAGCTAAGGGTGGTTACACAAAGAAAAAACGAAGACCCAATCATTGTCTATTTTAATAAGTTAACGCTTGAGAGTTTTCCACCAATTTGTTTTATCAAAATTCATACCTTCCTTTTCAATGCACTTTGCGTAACAGAAATGATCCACTGGTACCTGTGAGATACACCAAAATCACAATTGGCTGAAAAACATTCCGTTTTAAATATTAGGCGGTCAACAAAATTAATTAACGAAATACAATACCAATGCGTGTGCGTGTATTCATTATTGAGGCATAGATCACTTCAGCTTCAAATGCCACCTCGTAAATGCAAACATCGGATCTTCTTGCTAATCACAATATTTCCATCATTCTTTAACAATTCTTTTCCGTTTGAATATTCACTTGTTATTCTACGTAGTAGACACCCTAAACATGAAACCATCTAAGATTCACCAAGGTTATTTGCAGCTTCTCTTTCTTCTTACCTTTTCCTGTTTTCTAGATTAACTGCACACATTTACTTAAAGCACCAGGATTGGAACTCGAAATGTAAAAGACTGAAACTGAAATGCGTGATTCCCGTTTTTATCATACAAGTTACTGGCTTTGTGTGACTCCTTCATCTGTTACTGCGTCACTCTTTGTAACTTAATATATAGAGAGAATGTAGACTGAAACTCGCAAGTCTTGTATTAGATTGAATATTATGTTGACCGGATATGATTGAAAAAAGCAATTATGCTCTCTACTACCTTTCCATACAGTCTAAATCAGAAAAACGACAGGAAAACGACAGAAAAATGCACAAATTGTAATGTATGTATCTATGAGAAACCGAAGAGAAAATTATCATAGCGTTCTAAGGTTATATCAAGTCAAAGAGAAGAAAAATTGTAATCCATTGTTTTTCCTTCAGGGCTTTCTAACTCATAAACTTCTGGAGCGGTTAGAGAATGAACGCGCCACATCACAAAACTTAGCTTAACATCAATTTGTCACTCCCAAATATTTAACAAAAAAAGCGAGGAACAAGAAAAAAACGTCTCGCTGCACTAAAGAAATAAAAAAAGGGGCGAGTGCATTGTTGAGTACTATGAGCACGCGGGAATTTTTACGAACACGAGAGAAGTATGGAGACGCACGGGCCAAAGGCGAGTGCTTCTCGCACTTCTAGAGTGTTCTTAGAAATTCCCAAGTACTTATATAACTCAATAATGCTCGAGGAACAAGGTCTTTTTATTTCTTTTATAAAATATATCGTGAATTGCGCGCGCTCATACCTATGACGTAGGCTGCGTGGATTATATCTCAACAGTGCACTCGTGTGACGTAAGGCGTGTGCTTTATGGAAATGTAATAAACTCGTTCTGACTAATCACGGAGTGCGCATTTCTCTGAACATATTATAACATCTAATAAACTACCTCAAGTTTAAAAAGATATATCCTGGTGGCATAAATCAACAGGGATAATTAAGGTTTGTTAAAGCCCGCTCCAGAACAAAGAACCATTAAGATATCCATAACCTTGAGCATAACAATATGAGCTCCTTGTCTATAAATGCAAGGATTGTGGAAAAACATAGTAACGAGACAAAAAACGCGCCTTTCTGTTGGAATATATGCATGTTGGAAATGATTACAAAGCTATCCTTCGAACAACTTTCTGGTTTGGAAAGAAAACGCTCAACGCAAAGCTGGCTGGTCGAAAACAATTTTAATTTTCATAGCTCGGTAATCAAACCATAGTAAGATATTTTTGAATGCATACAGACTTGCTAGAAGCCAGGTTGAAATGCTTTGTAGCAAGAAGGGCAGGCAGTTGATAATTTCCGTTCACGATCGTCCTGGACTCGACTTAGCGCAAATGCATCGCGTGAGTAAATTCCCGTCCCTTGAAAGTAATGACTCATGAAGAGTGCTCGTAATACAGCTTCATGAGATTAAGATTCCTATGCTTAATTAAACTTAAGGGTCTTCTGATATGTGCCTGTCAAAGGGAAGGTGTCTACTTCCGAAACCTGCCCTCAGCATTCTTTCTTTAGAAACTGATCTGATGTTTTCATTTGGAAAGGCGGGATAGGGCAGGTTTGTGTACATTTTTCTTTAGTATCAATCTAGATGAAATTTTAAGTATTGCGCCTTTCTCATGTCGTCATGAGTGAGGTTTGAAATTCCATCAGAACAGATCTCTATTCAGGCTAGAATTTCTCATCTAAATAGAGCCAAAAGTCGTCGGAAAGATATCCGTATAACCTTAAACCTCGTTATACAAAAGTTATTTGGTAGAGGAAAACAATGGCGAAAACAATACTACGATTGAGAAAGGTTTCAAGAAGGCTGAATGATTGGGAATGAATATAACATTGGACATTGCCCAATTTTCCAATTGTATTCTTTACAAGAGAAGTTCTTTCGTAATCTTGCCTGTAGCTTTTTACGATTAGTTTGTCGTTGAACTAAACTAAACATCATTCCAAATGTTTGAATTTCTAATTACCTTTTCGCCTGATAGATCTGCGTCATTGACTTGAAAGCTGATCCTACATCTCCTCAAACAGTGCTCCATCTGCCCTGTTAACTTCAATGCATTTGAAATTCCAGAAGAACTTCGAAACTGCACGGGCACAAGTGCAAAATTGCTCCAAATGAGCACAGAAAAAACTCTGATAAAGAAATATTCCAACATTGTTTTTCTTCAAGCTTCCTTTGTGCTAAATTTTCAAGGCGGTTATTCCGGTTATTCTTTCAAGCACTAAACTGTTCAAGTATACACCAGTTTTAGCCGCACGACGACACTCTTAGATTGAAAAAACCACGAAAGATAAAAAAGAGATAATTCAAAACAAAAACAGCAAATATGGAAACATCAATAAACAGAACGAGGCTGTATGTTGAAGGTTGAAAGTGAACGACACCGACTATCAGTCACCGAAAGTTCAGAATAAATGAACAGTAACGTTACATCTATCACACTTAAGATCACTTAAGGCTCTCAATGAAACTTATGTGAATGTCAACTCAGACGTCATTTGATGTAAAAATAAAATGACCACTAACTTCCCTTGGAATACAGGAAGTAAACAAAACGTAATTCAAGAAGATAAATTTATCGAAATGTCTAGCATTTGTTGCGATATTCCAGCACTGTACTTCGTGCCGAGATCTTTTAATGTGGGTAAACCACAATTTGTGAAAAAGATTTTTGGGAAAGGGTAAGTTTCCTTCAAATCAAATCAAATTTGAATACGATACCTTGTCTTGGTAGGAAAAAAAACTCCAAAATTGTCATGAAAGAATCGGACAGACCATTATGGTAAAACTTTGACTTTTTTAATGAGCACCAGTAGCGATCTAGTAGTAAGTTATAATTATGATATCTTCAAACAGAGGTAAAGCGATATAAGCTTTCAAACATTTAGCGGATTACAATTCAGCGACATAGTTAATATAAAAGTCGTTGAATTTCCTGGAGACGCTACTTCATGCTGTCTCCGACGGTAATCAGATATAGAGGGTGTGCCTGTGCTTTTTTCTGCTTTTTCTGTTTGACTCTATATTGATTTTCTATTTTCTCTTATGACAAACCAGATTTTAAGTCCGACGGGTAGAAGGTTCTTAGCGTTTCACAAACTGCTTCCGGTCAAAGTCACACGACCAGTCAGGAATGACAATTAATTGGTGGATATAGTTCTTTTTCTATTTAAGAGCGTCCCATTCAAAAAAAATAATGAAACCACAAAAGCGTCTAATTCGGAAAAGGCTACAACACATCTCAGAGTGTAATTCTACGTGCAAAAAAACAAAACAAAACAAAATAAAAAAAAAAAAACCAAAGGGCACTTTATTCCCCTTTCTTCCAATTTAATCCATAGCATAGGTGGCCTCGTCACTTAACCGGGCAATGATTTTAAAGTAACTCAGGCGACAATTTAAAAGGGAGCCATAAGGATTAGATTCAACACTTTTGAAAAAAGCTATTATCTTAGGAAATGAATCTTTTCTTCAAGGATTCGAATCTCTCAACACTAAGGGCTCTAGCAAATTCAAGATCTTCATCATACACCCTGAGATTTTAGATACCATTTGTATTCGGCGCACCTCTTTAAAACTAAAGCGCTTGTCTTCTTACGTGTTTTGACGAAAGGAAACTCCAAGAGTGAGATCTCAGTCAATCGATCTTTGTATAAAAAGCTGAATTACGAGCGTATTTTAAATTGCTCTTCAATTATGATGTATTGAAGGGAAGACGCACAGAAGATATCACAATTAACAATTTTTTCTGCCTCTTTATTATATAAAAGCAAACAGATTACATATTGCCCTGCGTTAGCTAAGTAATAGATAACAGACGCTTGGCAACATGGATTCTATTTGTTAAGTAACGTATTGCACACAACACTTTAAGTCTTGGGAGCTGTATATAAGGAAGGCGTGGTACTCAAATTCCATATCTAAAACAGAAATTTCATCATATTAAACAACTAATAACCTTAAAAATCGAAGAGAACCCGAACTAAAAAAAGAAGGGTGGTGAATGTTACACCGTTCTTTTGAAATTCTTAAAACGCGAAGAATCGGAAAACACAACACGACTTACCAGGCAATGAAACTAACGGACGTCGAAGACGATAGCAAAAAAAGTATAAGAACAACAGCACATGTAGAGGAGATGGCAGCTGCCATGTTGGTAACACTTTTTTCGTCGCCACCTAAAGAGAAAGAGAGTTTTTTGTTGATGACTGCTGTATATACACAAAACGTCAAGGACAAATATTTACGATTCAAAAATGACACTTTGACCTAACAAGACTAGAATCGGTCGAAATTATTTGAATTGAAGACATTGGGCTTTTCTCGCGAAGAGTGTTATCATATACTCCACAATTTTTCCTTGTGCAAATAAGAATAGACTTTTATAGGGGGACGTGGGGGCAAAAACGAGTTTCTTCTCTCAATAATTTATAAAAGGCTTGCTTGCTTCTAATAAACCTTCTTAAACAATCTGAAGTCTAGGATTTTTTCAGCTGAATGAACGTTGTAGACCCATTTCTTACAAACGACACTTTTAGCCGCTGATTTACAGTCACCGCGGCGGAATCACGTCATGAACAAGATATAGAACAGAGTTCATCAAGCAAGGAGTGGCTTGAACTGGATCGAGTGACTTCGGACCAGCTGCGTATCACTGAAGGAATTTCGCTCTGGCAAGGCATGAATTCTATTCTCTAAATTCTTAACATCAGATCAGATTGTTTTCTGAGTTTTGAAATGCAATTGAACCAGTTCCCCACCCCTCCTTTTTATCATTCAGTTTTCCTTCTACGTTATTCCAAGGTGAGAGGTATTTCGAAAGGACAATTTTAGTCGATTACGGCTGTTAATTGGAAACCTACCTGTAGACTTGAGGCGTCTCTGGGCTGCGAAAAAAGAGGTAAAAGAGAAAATAAAACCATCAGAAGGAAAATTGCTCTGACTCATTAAATAATAGAGATTGTTTGCCACGTGGAAACCTACCTGTAGACTTAAGGCGTCTCTGGGCTGCGAAAAAAGAGGTAAAAGAGAAAGTAAAAGCATCAGAAGGAAAATTGATCTGACTCATTAAATAATAGAGGTTGTTTGCCACGTTTTGAACCGCTCGCCTTCAGGGGGAAGGTACAAACCTTGTTCAGTTCACTCTTACTATACTATTCTCATTCAGTTCATATCTTTTCATTCTGGCAATCTGGAAGTCTACGCGCCCACGATTGGATTAAGGAATGGTACGTTGTAGGACATAAGCCTTTCCCACGATCCTCTGATAAGTTAGATTCTTATTTCACAATGGCGCAAATTAGGATCTCAGATAAAGATAAACAAGATAAATAGTTTATTTATAATCGCTTTGCAACAAAAAAATTGAATTACACGATTGTTACAAAATATCGAGAATAACATTAAAAAGAACTATCAGTAGTTTAAACCAATTTTGTATAAAATGTGTTGGCATGTCTCTAATGTTCGTAAGTAAATATTTCGATTAAACATGTCAAATGAATTCTACGTGGTAAGGAAAGGACGGAATTAAATCGAATAGTCTTGCATATTCAAAGGCTCCACCCCTTCCTTTTTTATATATTTGTTTAGATTACTTATACAACTTGTCACCTTTTAATTAAAAAAAAATTGTTCCTGGCACCGATGGTAGCTTAAGGCTGTTAATTTTCAAACATACCTGTAAACTGAATCGCGTAGCCTACAAAAGGAGGAAAAAATCAGGGCTGTAGGAAATAGTGAGGCATTTGACAAGTTCTCTCACAGAACATGTTGTGAATACTAATACTACAAATATTAACAACTATGATTATGTATAAAAACGAATCTAATTGTTACATGATATCTTATTAACTTAAATTGAGCTCATGATTGCTCCTCAATACCATCAATCTCTGTTTCATTCAATTCACCTTATTTTTTACCAGTGCGAAAGAGAAAGCAAGAAAAATTAGAGAACCTGAAAAGGAGACTCCTCGTCTGAACCTTGGGATATGTCACTGATTATTTTTACTTGAGATGAATATATAATTTCTCTTTTTTTTTCTCTTCTTCGGTCTAATAGAGAGACGGAAGTCTGTAGAAATTACTCAAGTGAAACCTACACATCCCAACCGATGCCTTCAAGCCTTCAATGCCGCTCTTTGAGCTCCTAATTCCTCTTGAAGAAAGGAACTTTCTCTAGAAAATGTCGATATGGTGAGGGCTGTTGATTTCAAACCTACCTGTACGTGTAGTTGGTTGATCTATAAAAGAGCAAGAGACAAAATTTGAGAAGAAAAGTACGTTGACAGTTTTCAGACTTAAATTGTGAGTCTATATACTCTGCCATCCTGCCTTACTATTTTGTGAAAACTGGAGAAATCGGGCAACCCTATTGCCTCAGCTTAAGAAGAAGAACACAGGAGCACTACTTGTTAAGCTGTTAGAAAGAAGAGTTATCGTACGTAACTCAAATAATATACATTAACAGTCAATTCCCTTCCAGAACCTTGTCTGAATACATGACGGGGAATTAGTGGAGATTGATAGTAGCGAAATATTATCACTGAAAGAAAGATCTTTCCAGACAAGTGGACAATGAAATCCATAGTCAAAGACCGGACCTTTTTAATTTTTTATAAAAGGAAAGAAAAGGCTGAATAATTGTTATCTTAAGGCTAAATATTGTTATCTTACCAATAGAATTGAAAAGCGGTGGAGTATCAAGATCTGGGGAAGAGGATTAGCCGGTTATAGCGTACCCAAAAGTGACTGTAGTATAAGTAGCTGCTGATAAACATGACTTAGGAATGGTAATAATTATCGTAAAAGACCGCACGTGCAACTCGGTACTGTCAGGGATATACAAACAGATAGATCGTATTTATGCACAACAACAGTTCCACGCATACAATGTACCATAGAAATTGCTTCACGAAATCAGTAGCCATCTCTTGACAGGAAAGTAGGAAAGAAGGGTCTAACAGATTAACAAGCTTCTACCAAAAGACGTCAATAACGGATTTGACGCACATAATTAAGGCTATTGCTGAGCAGCGTTACAATAAATCATTACTTAACACCACGCTTGGCTTGGCTTACAGGCTTTCAGCATGAACGACTTCAATGTGTTGTACGAAGAATATGATAAAAATTTTAATGAACAATAAGGGGAATATTATATTTATTTGCATTAATCCCTGCTTTCAGCCCAACAACTTACTTGAAAACGTAAAACACGGTTTGGGCACTTTGCACGCTGCAAAATGAACAGTCAAGCATTTTTCAGAGAAGCATAATTCGTACTCACTAAAAGAACAAGCAATCTAGCTATCGTAAAAAGGTTTACGCAGTGAAAATCAAGCATAGATTCTGCTCACAAGCAATAAGTTTAAGTAAAACCCCACCACGAAAAGGAAAAAAGGGCTGATGAAAAAATATCAAAGTATTCATTCGAAATGATAATAATTCTAAGACTTATGATAATGAAAATAACAACCTAATAACAAAAGGCAAGGCTTTGTGAAGTTCATTTTACCTATTACGGCTACGACTTTGTTTGATTAGTTAAAATATCTCTTTTTATCTCGCGTTATGCTTTGCCTCAAAACTCGCAAGAAAAAAAATAAACAACGCAAATAAACAGGAAAAAGGGAACGAAAAAAAATAACTGATGGGGGCTTATTTTCTTGTTAAACTAAGAACGTTCACCAGACTTACTGAATAGGGAGTAGAATGGTATCTCAACTGGATATGGAAGAGAGGTGATCTGATTAAAGATAAAAAAATAAAGAAACGTTTCATAGACAAGTCTTTCTTATCATGCATTGTCATTATTACTACTATTATTATTATTATTATTATTATCATTACTACCATTGTTCTTTAACATAATTGTCATAATTATTATTATTATTATTAAAAATATCATTTTATAATTAAAAAATAGAGAAGCCTTGTCCGTGCACTGTTCTATTGTAAAGCACGCAGGAAGCGGCTAGAGCACTAAAAAAGTGTAGGAACACGACCACACGACTACGACCACGACCACGACCACGACTACGACCACGACTACGACCACGACCACGACCACGACCACGACCACGACCACGACTACGACTACGACTACGACTACGACTACGACTACGACTACGACTACGACTACGACTACGACTACGACTACGACTACGACTACGACTACGACTACGACTACGACTACGACTACGACTACGACTACGACTACGACTACGACTACGACTACGACTACGACTACGACTACGACTACGACTACGACTACGACTACGACTACAACTACGTCTCGCGTTTCTCCCCACTTCTTGAGTTCAGTGAAATCTGGATAATACTAATAAAATTGCTATTCTGCTTGACAAAAGGAAGGCGAAACCCGTGTACACTCAGCTGTTCGTTGTCACAGCTGTGGTTTCCAAAATATAAAACATTCAGTAGCTTCTAAAATACAAAAGATCAGTGTGGATAGTAGACCTCTTTCTTGTTTTTGAGCCTCACTTCTTCATCCAGCACCACACTGAAAAAGACTTGCTCTCCTCTGGTTACAATTATTAATGGTTTGCCGCTAGGATCTACCAAGAGTGTGAAGGGCGAAAAAAACATTTTCGCAACAGCTGCAGAGTGGCCCTGTTTTGCCCCGGCTATTGGCGACAAAATTTCGAAGAAAGCATGGAGCATGTAGTAATCTCGAGATGGAGACAAACGACAACACAATGCTAAGGAAGATGAGGGTTAACCTGTCTATTTCGGTAATTTTCTGATGTACATAAATACATGTTTGTGGTACTCACGTAATGTGCAATGGAAGAACCATTTTTCAGTCCATACGAAGAATTAGTTATGGCAAAGTTCGTAGCGTTCTAAATTGAACAGATCACAAAATCAATGTGGCCCGAAACTCTTCATGAAAGTGGTGCTAATCTATTTCTAATAATTAAACTATTCATAAAATCACCTTATTTTGTATATGTCTCGATCTTGAAATCGAAAAAGATTTTCCATTAGGCAAACACGCCTAAGAACCCTCAGGACCTGTTATTTACACGAGATCTAACCCAAACCACGGTGTTAAATAATCAGTGGGCCTCACGATTTCTCTATGCGGGGTTGAGTTTATTAAATAAATGTCCTTCCCCTATCGCTTTTGGGCCCTCTTGAAACTGTTCACAAAAGAAAAGTTCAGAACAAAAATCGGGTTCGGCCTAACTGAGGATGGTTAAGACGCGGTTCTGTAAAACAACGGCTAAACTTTGTGTAAATAATCAAACCTTACTTTCTTGAGCATTATTATTTTCTCAAGATTTTTTCCAAAAGCAATTATCTGGTCAATACATTTTAATGCCTCGGAAAAATATAGGGCTTCAAATCATTTGCAGACGTCCTAAATGGTTTTTATTACACAAAGAAGTAAGTATCATTTCTTAGACTGAAAAAAAAAGGTCCTCTGTAACTCAGTAGCAAAGGGTTCGAGTCATCAAGGGGATTAAGATTTTTCTCTCTTTTCGTGTGCTTATAAAAAATGATTAGCATCTTTTGTCTTTCGAAGAAAGAGCTCAAAATCTCTCTCAGTCAAGAAATCATCGTCGTTGTTTTCGAAGAAATCCACATAAGCGAGATATTTCGCGAACAACCTCTACGTTTAAGTTGTGAATCAGTGTTATACAATATATGGTGTATGCACTACATTTACTTGATTTGACGACCTCACCTTGTCCAATTCTTGACACAGGCCATACACACGTTGACTCGGGCTAAAGGGATCCAAAAGTTCGTATATTATTCCGTATCCGGTCCAATTAGCCGCTTGAACTGAAAGAAACAAAGATCGCTGGAACCTTCTATATTCTTTACCTCTAATTTTAACATAATTTTCGCTCTTACTTTCTTATGTCATCCACTTGAAAAGGGTTAAAAAATGAGAAAACGCTCATCAAGTGTGCAATGGCGCATTACTGGCCCGTTAACCTTTTCTTTGACGCAAACGAATTGACGTTGCACAGCCTCTACAGAATTATCCTGACTCAAAATTTTCTTCGCTTCTATTACTGCGTAAACAATATTGGTATTCCACTCACTATCAAAAGGTGTCCATGACAGCGTTGCTATATACCTCCCCGTGCTGTTAAGCTCTTCATATGTCACCTTAACGTCATCGGCAGTGAACGACTTTTCAGCTCTTGGTTTGTTCATCAAGCATTTTTGTAACCATTCTGATATATATAACGAGATTTATTGCTTAATTTCAAAATTAAAAATATCACCCGTCTGACACTTCTAGTTTGATAAGAAAAAAAAATAAACAGATGAAATATTAAATTAGCAATTAACTTAGAGAGATTATCTACAAAATTAATTAGGGCACTAGCAGACAGAGAGACAAGATAATTTGGTTTTATCAACTTGGTTGATAATGTAAATTGGACACTGTAAAGAGTTTCGAAAGCTGACATCTCGAGCGTTAGCTCTTCGTCAAAGCGAATGACGTTGACCAATTTACATTATCGACTCAATTGTTTTACTAAATCAAATAGTCTTGCTATGCTCCCCCACCGACACAGGACCACAGTTTCTTTAGAAACTAACCCCCTTTAGACAGAGAGAGAGAGAAAGTTCTGAAAAGACCCCTTAGGATGAGAATTACATGTTTTTCCACCAACACCCGCAGCTATCTGTCGTTGAGTACTGTCGCCACTCGAATCAGATTTTAATTTGACTAAACATGCAATAAGCCTATTAACGCCCTTTTTCCTTTTTTTTTTCATTTTGCTATCGTCAGATTGTGTTCCAAAAATAAAGTTTAGTAGCCCTAAGAGAGATGGATCGGGAGAGCAAGTGAAGTAATTTGATTACTGGTAGCGTTTGAGTGTGTATGCAGCTAAATCATCTAAAGTGTCTACTGTTACATCAGTTTCTTTGTATGATTGTATGTCAAGACGGAAGAAGAACGCGTTCGTTATTCATCATGATCCTTGTCTGTCAAGAAAATACAATCAGTCTATTTTAAACTTACTTCGACCAAATGCGTTGAAAGATGTCGGCTTGATTCTCTCGCCGTTTGGAACAACTGCATGGAGAGATTAAAACTCATTTATTTGTCTATTTGTTTTTTAACATAAGGACACAAAAATGAGCATCATCTCCACTGTTTCGCGTTCTTGTAGATTGTTGTGCATTTGAAGAGAGATAAATACATGGTAGAAGAGTGGATTTGTGCAACTTTAACACATGTCATTCCAGAATTGTTAGACTAAAAAAGGTTGTTACTTGTGTAATCAATTATTTCGTTCAAAAATGTTAACAATACTAGTAATGGGCGCCTGACAATACCTGACGTGTTTGAGGACGTCTGATTTTTTACGCTGTTAGAGGCATCTAAGATAGCAATAAATTTCCGGAAATCAGTAAGCAAAGTTGAAAACCACAACATGAAATACAATAACAACGATAACTTTTTTCAATTTCTCTTATCTAAGACAAGATATAAGTAAGATATAGCTTTGCAGAAAAAGGGAAAGACCTCTTGCAACACCCTGTAGATAAGAGTTGTTGAGGTGAAGGCGTCTTAGAAAGGTGATTTGCCTACGTTAAACATCTTTCCCACAATGTGCAATTATATATAGTTTTCTTCGTAAGATATCTGATTCTATTCTTAGAGTCCATTCTCGCCATGTGCTAACATATCCAGTAACCTACCTCGTTTGATTCTTTCGAAGGAAGGCGTGTTATGCGGATTGAACAAGTGATTTCGCTCCTTCACTGAAGAATTATGCTTCCCTATCGGCGAGGGAGTAGTAAATGAAATATGCATGAGTAGTTTTTAAAGTAAATGCATGGGTGGTTCTTGAGGTAGAATTTGCCTCAGCTCAAGAGTCTTTAACTCGAACAAGGCTAAATATTTTTCTACAAGTAACTGAGGGGGTACATAAAAGTTCGGTCCTATCCATACAGCTTTTTAACACTTTTATTGAGTAAATTGATCGTTGTTGAAAAAACAAAAAAGCTAAAGCATTGACAATTCCCACTGATTCATTAACAAAAACACTGTCGCTCAACCCAACGCCTGTCCATGGTTGCGAGGCCAAAAAAAGTGGGTAGGAACATAATTCTGGAAAAAATCACTGTTCCGCTAAGATTTGACTGAGCAGGAGACTGACTCATGATTTTCTGGCAAACAAATTCGACCAGTGGACTAGCTCTCAAACCGTTTATCTAACAGTCCGACCGAGGAACCAATAAACTGACAGAGCGACCGTTTTTTCTCATGACAGAGGGAACATGGAGATTATGAGAAAGACAGATAAAAATTGTGATTGAAATATTTCCCTCAGCTAAGAGTGGTTGCTAAAACAAGATCGCAACACCATCAGTTTTTTTTTTTTTGAATAATCGAACTCTTGGGAACTAACAACCCATTTGTGTCATTTAAGTTCATACCTTCCTTCCCAATGCATTTTGTGTAACAGAAATGATCCAGTGGCAACTGCAAGACACACCAACATCAGGATTCGCTTGAAAGAAAACTAGTTTTTTTAATTGCACCACGAGATTTACACCCTACTAAGGGCTAAAAAAATTAATCAGCTGAATGCAGTACCGTCATACATAGAAAGCTTAGATGCTACTTACATGCAAGACAAAGATATGGAACTAGACTACGAGTCATTTAAAGTTTAGTGTATAAATATAAGACAAGAAATTGTCCGATTTCCTACAATGACGGTTTTGAATTTTAAAAGTTTTGGCTTTGAATGGAAGTGATTGGGGGCAAGAGAGTAATTATATTCTCTTGGTGGGAGAGATGGTTGATGATTTGCGCTCACGATTGTCCTAGAAACGATTGTTCACAAATGCGATCGCGTGAGTAATCTTGTTACTCGAAACTAATGGTTTGCGAACAGTGTTCGAAATCCAGTTTCAAGGGCTTAAGATACTTACGTTTAATTAACTTAAGGGCCTTCCCAGTGATACGTGTGCGTACCCGTCACCTGAATTGGGTCTACTCCAGGGTTGTTACCACAACGTTCTCTCTTTAAACAAAATTTGATGTTTTCATGAAAAAAGGCGGGCTAGCCCGGGCCTGCGATTTCAGATTTTTCTCACTCTCCTTGCTACTGGGATGAAACTTTAAATAAAGAGCCTTTTCTTGATTTCGGCGCAAGTGAGTTGCGATTTCCCGAATGAACAGCTTGCTAATCAGGCCGGACCATCTAAATGGCAGACAAATTCGTCCTGATAACCAGCCAACCTGGCTTTTAGCCTTACATGCACAACTCATGAACATATCAAGTCTACAACAAAAATCGTCGAGATTTCCGTGTAGATCTACACGGAACTCTCGACGAAAATTTCGATTTCTGAGGTTCTTCTATCTATATTTCATATGATAAGGGTTATTATCGTACCAAACTTAACATTAATGCAAATGTAAGAATTGCTAGATTTTACCTCTTCTCGATAAATTTTTGCGTTAAATGCTTGAAAGCTGAGGCCACATCTCCTCAAACAGAGACCCACCATAATCTGACCAGTTAACTTCGATTCATCAGGAATTCCAGAGAAGCTTCGACTCTGCACAGGCCCGAATGTAAGATTGCTCCAAATGAACATAATGAGAACGCTGATGCAGAAAGATACCCCCATTGTTTGATGTCGATCCTCCAGAGTGCTCAAGTGCAAATGAAGGTATTTATAACTCAGGCTGTTTGAATAATGTTCACCTTTGCACTTCATGCTTGCCTGGCCAGGTATGGAAACATTTCAAAATATTTAGCGGATTATAGTTCAATTACAAAGTTTTTGGAGACGCCACTTTATGCGCCAAGACACACCCTCTCGTTAATCAGATCTAGGCGGTGTATCTGTGCTTGTTCCGCGTTCTTAGTTTATTTCTCAGGATTTATTTTCCCAGTCTGCTTTCTTTTCATACAGGCCAGATGTCTCTGTAAACAGTTATAAATTTACCTGCCCCCTACATGAAAGACTTTATGTCTCCTACTCTTGGTTTATTGTTAATTTCTACCTGAGATACTAAGTCAATGAGAAAAGGCAGGGAGTACTTAAGGGTCAAACTAAAGGGGGACAGGGTCGTAGCATCCGAAATTGATTGAGCAATAATCACGAGACTATCAGGTGACTTTCATAAAAATGGACTGTTCTTTGCCCAGACGTCACGAATTTTGCTGGAAAGTCTCCAGCGTTCAGTATATGACGCGGCATGTTTCTTGAGTTCGTCCAAATTTTCCTCAGACCTGGCACACTCAGCATATTTAAAACGTATCATATCTTCTCTTTTTTTTCCGTGTTGAGTATATTCCTCGTTTTTTGTGTGTGTATTGTGTAATTATGACTTGTAAACCTCACGCGTTTAAGACCCGAGGTGGCCATGTTAGAAATAAAGCGGGCAAGTTTCTAAAGGAACTGTGGTGCTGCTTCGGCAGGATAATTTAGTATTATCATCTGAGTTGATAACGTAAATTGGCCACCGTAAAGAGTTAATGGGTCAAACTCTTCACAGTCGCCAATATACGTTATCAAGTCAGTTGATAACGCTAAATTACCATTTTATGAATAGGTGCTAACGACCTATGCCATGCAAAGGTCAAACCTTGAATTTTGGGCTCTGAAATAGAGTCCCTGGGGCAGGTATTCCATAGCCAATACCGTCTAAAATATATTCGTCAGACTACTAAACATATTGTTTGTCTAAGGGTTACCTCTTTATTCAATGATCGTGTCACACTTTTTAATCAGTTGGTAAACATGGTCGCCACTTTTTGGTGTCATAATGGAACTCGTAGCCCATCGATTCCCATTCTTTGTGGGGTCAGGGTGCAACTCAACTGCAAGGGACAATAAGTTCTGTTTAGAAGATTTCGGGGCGCTGTCTTATACCCTCTCAAGACATTGCCTCCCATTGAGGGTCAGTCACTCACGCCCTAGCTTAATAAGGTCCCGTTTTGAACCCATAACTTAATCTCTTGCTCAGACCCACTTATCTTTTGTGTAATGAACATTTTCCCTTAGTTTAGCGACTTAATCGAATGTTCGTAACGGTAGTTCTTCCTTTACGAGCTCGCCAAACCTATTGTCGTTTTTCATGTATTAATTAATTCGTCTTTTGCTTTTACGAAGTTTTAAGTTTTACTCCTGCATTTTTTCGTGATCTCCTTGACCCTTTCTTGGGTTACATAATTTTTTTATGTAAATATGGACATTTAATCTACATCCGATATTTTTTGACCCAAGGAAAATCGCTTGTTTATCCTTCAGTGTCAACTACGGCGAGTACGTAGCCCCATATACGCCCATCCACGTCCTATAAAAGATCTTCATCAACTTCAGCTTCTTTATCGACCATCCCAGTCAACTCGAACGCATTCCGTTGGCAAGTAACGAACCTGTCTAGCCGTCTCTGCCTCTGGAGAATATTGCAGCGATAATCTCGGGGGCGGTGATCGGGGGCATTAAAAGTAGCAGCAATTGTCACCAAAGGTCGCTCGGCTCCTACTTCGGGAACACGAATCGAGCTGCTTCTGCACAGGGGTCGGTCGCAGCTCTGATTCAGAACATTACGGGTGAGAAAAATTCACCTCAGCATAAAACTATAACGATTAATTTTCTTTTCACAACAGATTCTTTGGTCGAGAACAATTACCTCCCAAAGAATGTTCAAAACAAAATTGCTGTTCCGCTCGCAATGCGACTATCAGAAAAACTGCAATCCAGAATCTAGTCGAATGAATACATATAATTTAGTTATCTTTGAGTGACAAAAGGTTCGATTTCATTGTTAAATCGTCGCCATCCACTGATCGGCCGGTCACTAATCTCGAACCAGAACTCAAGCCCAAACGTATTGCCGCCGTTTATCGATGGATCACGGCTTTCAAACATTGTGGCGATATGATCGGTGTGTTTTTCTAAAGGCCCCCGCTTTACTAACATACAGGGGCACCAAAACATTTCTCACAGTGTTATCACAACCGCGCACCAGAACTTCTGGTCAGCCCTTTCCATCTGGATTCTGGTGGAAATTTCATCGAGGCGAAAACATTTCTGGCTGCAACTTCAAATATTAGTGTTTCAAATATAGAATTCAGCACCCAGCGACGAAATGCACTGTTCCCAGCCGGCAATGATCACTTCATAAAAAAAATGCGTTCAAAAGAGCTGGAACAGTTCCATCAAACAAATCCGTCTCATCATCCCGCCCTGTCTCGTCCGCTGTCAACACCAGTTAAACTCGATAAATTGCAGGCCTATCTCGATGGATACCCTGCTCGATCAAAACAATACGTCATTTTCGTCCAACCATGCTTTTTCAGCCCTTAATAATCCTATGGCAGTCGACGATAAGATCGACAAAGAGGTTCAATAAGGCAGAATAGCTGATCCTTTCTAAACTTGATCATCAGCCAAAAGAAAAGATATCCCTCGATCGTGTAAAACCAGGGCTGGGTACAGCGCACACCAGCAGTCATTTGGCTGTCTTCGAACATCTAACTCCGTGTCTCCAGTAATTGTTGCGACGAAGCAAACAGTTTCAGTCGACCTTCAGAGATGAATTTTGCTAGGCGAAGGGCTCAACAATTCTCCTTAGAGCTACAAGGGTGTCGCAAGATATTCAACTGAAATACATGAACGACTTGGAGATTCTTCGCAGATGTGACGAAGATAAGTTCGTGTAACCTATTTTACTTTGTGTTTGTTTGTTTACTTCATTTTTGATAACATCTTTATCGACTGTTCACTTCAGAGACAGTAGTTCAATAACTGATGAACTTCCTCAGTTATTACAGACAATATATTATTCTTTCTCATGGACAATTTAACAATAGCTTACCCTGCTATCTACCTATTAGGAATTCTCTAGAACGATTATCAAGCATTTAAGACCTTGACCTTTTTACTTTGAATACCCATAATTCAAACATAAACCCTGATTGTAATGTCTTACGCGATCAAATTCATTGTAAATACTATTCTCCTTATAAATTTGCAGAATGTATCAAAAAACTTAAATAAAAAAATTGCCTGTCTATCCTCCACAATTAAATAAGAAGCCTGATTAAGAATCTTGAAGACTTTCAAATCATTTGCTTCACGAGTTAGGTAATTGGACCAACTGAAACACGCATTACCAGCGGAAATTATCTTACATCCAATCCAAATATCCCTGGATATTCTTTTGAGAATGATCCGACGCCTCTTTCTGCTGGGGGCGTTGCAACGTATATAAATGATCAATTCAAATTTAGTATCTTAGAAGAAATTTCTACAATATCTAACTAAGCAATGTGCATTGAAATTCAGTTTTCAAACTTGAAGAAAAATGTTCTTTGTGGAATTATATTGAGACAACATAATTCTCCTAAAAAGTATCCAGAGTATTTTGATTCAGCTGTTGAGAAATAGAGTTTCTTTGACAAACAAATATATATAATGGGGAACTTCAACATAAACCTCCTTAGGTTTGAAAGCTGCGCAATCGCTAATAATTTTATGCTTTCTCCTCATTTTTTTTTTATCTAATTACACCTGATGAAATACAACGTGAAATCTTGTCATTGCCGATAAATAAGGCCCATACTCATTTCCAGTCAAAATCTTCAGATATGGTGGCTCCATTCTATCAAACCCACCAGAAAGTACCATGAATTTATCCATTCAAAAAGGTATTTACCCATCAAAGTTAAAACACGCTAAGATGGTTCCTGTCTATAAAAATGATGATGAACTTGATTCTCTCCTCTCTAACACTAGCATAATTTCTTAAAAATTAATGGATAATAGAATTAATAACTTTATTATCAAGCATAAAATTTTATGTCCATCGCAATATGGGTTTCGCAAACATTGCTCATTGCTCTACGGAACATGCACTGTTAAATATTGTAGGTAAAATACAAATATATGGACGAAAAATTTTTTTCTTGCAGCATTTTCATTAATTTACGAAAAGCTGACCACAATATTTTGCACTATAAACTACATCATTATGGAATAGGTGGTATTGTCAACAAATGGTCCTGCTCATATCTAACAGGGAGATTCGAAACAACGCAAATTGAAACCAAGATCTCGAAGAAGGAGACGACAGCTTGTGGTTTGCCTCAAGGATCTTTTCTTGGTCCGCCATTATTCTTATTGTATATTAATGATATCTCGGCTTCTTCGAGTAAATTTGAGTTCTTTCCTTTAGCAAATGACACCAATCTTTTGTGTAAAGATAAATCATTATCATTATTAGAATCGGTTGTCAATGAAGAGTTAACCACTGTCTGCGACTAGTTGCTAGCTAATAAATTAACCTTAAATACCAAAAAATCCAACTATAAAATATTTAATCCTTATCAACGGAGAACTAGCTCGGCTATAAATCTAAAAGTATTTCACAATGAACATAAAGCTTTTAGAAATCTGGAAAGAAAACAATTTATAAAATTCCTCGGTGTCTTGATGGACAGCAATCTCTTATGGAGTGATCATGTGTCTAATGTGGCACTCAAAATAAGTAAAACCATAGGTATTATCGCAAAACTGAGACACGTCTTACCAACTTCTGTTTTTCTCAATATTTTTAATTCCTTTATCCATCCACATCTTTCTTATGGCCTTGTG